TTAATATTTATACGCGTATAACAAAGCATATGATTTCTAATATCTATACATGTACAAAAATAATATGTATTGTGCACAAATGTAATAAAGTTAAATTTTGATCAAACATATTTTGATGCCATTAGTTTTAATATTTTTATGTATAACATTGATTAAAAAATATGCAAATGTTATATATTTTAAATGTAAAATTGATTTTCATTGCCACCAACAAGAAAAATTGGTAAGTCTAATATTACTTTAGTCGGATTTAGATTTGTAAAACATGTATTAATGATTTTATGTTATAAAATAAATAAGAATTTGTAGAGATTTCCACAATGATATATAAATTTAAGTAAAATATTCTAATTGGTTAATTTAAATGATTTGTTTCTTAAATCGTTTTTTAAGCGACACATAGGATTTTCTAGTTAGTGTCTCCTCAATTAATATATAGAGGATGCCAAATTTATATTATAATTTTATCAACAAAAATAGGCATGTATCTCTCTAATTTTGTAAGAAAAATATGCATCAAATACAAAACGGTTAATAACATTGTTAAAATACAACGTTCAAAAACAATACTAGAGATAAATGTTAGGGATTGTAAATTGCAGACAATCGTTTAAACAAACTTAACCAACTTTAAAGGGGACAAAGTTACTGCAATTTAAAGGGAACATACAATACCAAAGATAAATATTGCAATTTGTGATTTTCTTCTTTTAATAAGTCTTATTTTGATATCTATCAGAACCATTTTCCTCTGATAGATATCAATGTTCAAGTCTTAATTTGATAGATCTGAGTGACTTGAGCACTCTACAGTTCCATTGCTTCATCAGAAATGGTGGTCACAAAAGCGAAATGGCCGAAGAACGTAAAAAGGGCTTTAGCCAAGATTTTAAAAGAAAGTATCAAATTTGTTTTTGTGATTATGTGATCTGTTCTAGTAGCTATGCTTCATATCTTGATGTAATAATATTCATTTTCTTGTGCCTTGTCAAATCCTAATATTTGATTGTTTTGTATTACACAAGTTGAAACACCAGTCGGTTGTGTCAAAAAAACCTTAAGAGGTTGTAAAGAAGTTTCTTATTGATGAATTTATGAGATCAAAGATCTTTTATACTCATTACATCTTGACCTAGATACAAACTCTATGTCGATGTTTATAATGGGCCACTATAAGGCCCCTAATAACCC